GATACTACTGCACTGATTTTTATGTTTGTCTCTCTGATCCTGGGATATTCAAGACCTGTCAGTTTTGTTTACTCAACGAAGTCTCAGTATAGTGCCTGGAAGATAGTAAGCACTCACATGTATATCTATACATAACAGACAAAAATTTTAGAGTATATTCTCATATGATTTTTCTATATACGTAAAATACAGTTAAAGTATAAAAGAAAGTTATATTAAGTTTTGAAACTATATTGTTGAAATAATAAATTCTCTAGTATTTGTGGCCCTATTAATAGATGGGCTTATTCATCAACTTGACAAAAAGATTGATAAATTATTTCAGACCAACTATTAACAAAAACATACGCTTTTTCTATTATATAAGATCTCTTCCCATTATCCTCAGAATTAGAATTTAATGACACTTGCATTTCTTGGAAACTTAATGAACAAGGTCCTGGAAACCTATCTCTAAAGCAGTAAATATGAAGTAATCGCTTTCCATCAGCATTAAGCAGCACAAGTCTGGCATCTGTTATCTGAAGCAATTCCTGCTTCAGTTTGCTGTCTTGAAATGTCTTTGGGGCCCAGTGCTGTTGCACTCTGTACAAAATGGAATCCTAGGCCATTGTCACATTTGCTGCAGTTACAGGCATGATGCATTTCAGGTACTCAATCAACAGTGCATTTAACATTATGATTTTGTCAAATGACTGAAAGGGGAGTATTTATCAAATTTCTGCTTTTCAGCAATGTTCTTATTAGCAAAGTAATACATGCACATTTCAACAGTTTGGAAATGCAAAAATATAATAAAATTGCTCATGATCCTTTCACTAAGAACCAATCACCATTAATGGTTCATCTCATTTGCTTTAAGATTTTCTCCATTATGAATTTTCTGACATTTGATCCTTTTGGTCTATAACATGTTCATATTTATGGCTTACTCTAGTAAATCTAAGTAATGTCATACACATATTATGCTATTTCCCGAGAAGCCTACTTAAACAGACTGTTTAGTAGCTTTTCTCATTTTAATGAAACTTAAGTACTTGTCATTATATAAAACTTCTTGAAAATATTATTACAAATACCTATCATGTTCCAACATATTACAGACTAAAATTTACCTGCTGACTTCCCTACCATTAGATATAGCTGTTTCCAATTTATCACCATGATAAATGATGATCTGAGAAGCATTTTTAACCATACTTACTTATGTGCATTTCAGATATTTTTCATATCTAGGAATAAAATTCTTACATTTTATTTTCAAAGTTTATTTTCATTTATTTAAAAGGTAGAGAGAGAGGGAGAAAGAAGAGAGAGAGAGAGATAATATTGTATTGGATTACTCCCATCACAACATGGAGCTGCGGGTAGGAGACAAGGACTCCATCTGGGTCTCCCACATGGATGATAGGAATCTAAGCACTTGAAACATCCTCTGTTGCCTCCTAGCGTCTATGAGCAGGATTGCTGGATTTTCAGCGGAGGCAGGCCTCTATCCAGTGCTTGTGAGTGCTTCTCAGCCTCACCAATGTACCATCAGACACTTCATAAAGTGGTTGAAAACTTAAACTCGTAAGTTATAAAAACTGTACCTCAAACTTAAGATAGATTCCCTCCCACTAGTTATACACACTTGGGAGCCATAGATCTTCTCTGGACCTTAGTTTTCTTCTTCACAAAATGGGGGGGTGGGCAGCACCAATCTCACTAAGGTGTTGTACTAAATAATGGATCATGTGTGTGAAGAGACACGCTATGGTGCTGAACACAGTCAAGGCCCATTAAATATCTTCTGTTAGAATCATATACAATAGTTACATAACTGGGAAATTCTGAAGATGCTTTTTCCCAAGAAAACATATGTAAGAAAACATGATAATTTTATAGAAATATATCCCCCAAAATGTGTCCAAAAATACAAATAAGAAAATACAACTGTCAGCATTGTGTAAACTTTAATATCTGGTTCATTATTTTGGATACTTTTGGCCTGCTTTACCTCTAACAAATGGCAGAAAATATGCAGATTAAAGAGCTCCTACCACAGGGGAGCATGGTAGGGGAGTAGGACATTCTGCCTTACAGTAGATCTTCCCAGGGACACGAAACAGGAGACTAACAGGTGCTTGAAGATCTGCTCTGATGTGGACAGAAGGAATTTCAGGGAGAAGGTGTAGACTAAGAAAGTACATTGAGGCTTGGAAGAGTTTTGAAACTAGACAAGCTCCAGGCATCGTGTGGCAGGGTCAGGTCATGCAGGGTATGGATGCTACACTTGATCTCAGCCAAAAGGCTGAGAAGCAATATGGATGCTTACTATGGAATAAGCACAAAGGTGGTGCTGTGGTCCAGGTTCCACTAAGGACTGCCTGCCACCAGGCTGTAGGCCCTTGGAGAGGACCAGTCCTGCTGGGGAATAATGTGCTGGCATCAACAACAAGGACTAAATCAAGTTTTAATTTTTTCTCAGATATGCCATGTTCAACTATTTAATCTATCACTACTACTGACAGTCTCCTCTACATTCAATACATATTACTGGATGCAGAATCAGCATTCAACAGATTAAAACAAACTTCTTTCCTTTGTGGAGTTTGTAGCTTAGTAGGATAATCCAGACAATGAATACTAAATATTGCAGGCATGGAAGTGATTGTATTAGAAGGCATTAGACGTTTGGGGGGAAACCAGCTGTGTTGCATGGTGAAGATGAGGCTTATAATATTATATGGCGTTAGCAGTGTTGTCGGACCTGGTTCAGACTTGACATAAGAGGCAAAACTTGTATGAGGACTAGGAGCAACTAGGAGACAGTGTTCTGGGTAGAGGACCAGCAAATGGGAAGGCCCCCAAATAGAGGTATATCTGTTTATGGGGAAAAACATGGAAGTCAAAGTGACCACTACAGGATGAGTGAGGGTGTGACAGGAAATAAGTTCAGGGAGATTAATAGGGTACCAGTCAGTGGAGAACCCAGAAGCCATGGTCATGTTGTGTTGCCAGACTTAAGTTATATTCCATAAGTCTTGAGTCTTCTGAGAGGTGGTTCTTCTTGGCTCCATCCCTGGGCTGCTCAGATAGATTAGGGGTACAAAGTGTGCACCAATTTTGCCATTCCATTATTTTCAAAGGCCCCGTTTCCCTGCAAAAGGTAGAGAGACTTTGGAACAGCCTTGGGAATACAAGCAGGAAGTGAGAGTGATGCTCAGAATCCTTCCTGGGTATTTGGAGGTTCTTGGAACTTAATGGCAGTATTGTGACACCCTGAGTCCTAGGGGTCAATTTCACGGTCTCTATGCCTTCTGCTTCTTCTGGGATACAATTGGCCCCCCTCCATCCTCTGGGGAATGTGACTGTCGCTGCAGACCCCAGCACAGAAAGCACTTGCTACCATGAGAAGGCCTGACAAAAACACATAACTTTGGGCTTATGAGGAAAGCTTTAAAGCTCCTTGCCCTCCCCCCCATACACACACACACACCAAGATGGTGCTGAAGGCTTTAGAAAGACCAAAGGCTTGAAAGCCAAGATGGCAGTGTTGAAAGGCATCCATAATCACAAAGAAAGAAAGGAACAAACAAACAAAAAAACAAAAAAAAAAAACCCACCTCTGTCATCCATGTTTCAGCGACCCAAGACACTATGCCTTTGGCAACATCCCAAATATCCCAGTGAGAACATTTCAGGAGAAGCAACCGTGACCCCTGGGCCATCTTCAATACGCCCCTGAGCACTGAGTCATGGAGAAGACAGAGGAGAACGACACACTCTCGTGTGGATAGCGAGACCAATATGCAACAGACCAAGCAAGCTTGCAAGAAACTCTGTGACACTGATAGATGTGGAGAGCGGAGCTGCGCCTCAAAGATGGCGCTTGCTGACCATTGCTTCGTGGCACAAAGGTGGTAAACAGGTTTTGGGAAGTTACTGAGGATTGGGCCGAGCACGCAGGGAAGCTACGTGACCTAAGTCATGATTGGTGTGCTTATCACATGATGTGAGGAACTGTGTATGGATTGGTTTGTGTAATGTAAAAAGGTCTGGGTGAAAAATAGTTAATGAGGAGATTCCACCAGGCACGCTTCAAGGCTAGAGCTAGAGCTAGAGCTAGAGCTATCACTTCAAGGCTATTGCTAGCTAGCACTAGGCTGCTTTTGCTTTACTGTAATAAATCTTACAAGTGCTGTAACTGCTTTCACTTTGACACAACGCTTGAAGTCTTGACCAATAAACTTTTTTAAGACTCTTTACTGTATCGGGGTCTTGCTCACGGGACGAGGGACCCCGATAGATAGAGCCAGATACACACTTGATCAGATCTGATGGAGAGAACAAGGCATACATTATTAGACCAGCTTCTGATTATGATGCTTTGGATGTTGCTGAAAAAACTCAGCATCATCTAAACTCAGTCGTCTGGCTAATTCTAAATATTTTTCTTTCACCATTAAAAAAAAAAAATGAGAAAGGGCCCGGCACGATAGCATAGTGGCTAAAGACCTCGCCTTGAACGCGCCTGGATCCCATATGGGTGCCGGTTCTAATCCTGGAAGCTCCTCTTCCTATCCAGTTCCCTGCCTGTGGCCTGGGGAAGCAGTCAAGGATGGTCCAAAGCATTGGGACTCTACACTCCCGCGTGGGAGACCTGGAAAAGGCTCCTGGCTTCGGATTGGCTCAGCTTCAGCCATTGCGGTCGCTTGGGGAGTGAACAATGGAATGGAAGATCTTCCTCTCTGTCTCTCCTCCTCTCTGTTGTATTGGCCTTTCCAACAAAAATAAATTTTAAAAAATGAGAAAACCAGAGAAAGTGATGCTCTAAAAACTGGATAGTGTCTTCCAGGAGCAAATATTTTGACAATGAAATATCCCTGCTTTATTTATCTTATAAACAAATTAACTTTTATGACATATTAATGAATCCCCATTGTAAAATATTAGGAAACTGTAGTTGCAATGGTAATTTGGCTGGGTTAGATCTGAAAGTGCTTAACAAACATATCTCACGACACAATATTGCCCCCTAGTGCCTGTTTGTGCACTGCGGGCCGACCAACCCTACCCAACTGCCAAAGTCCTTCAGTTTCTTGAAGGTCTGTGAACACTGACGTGCATTCTATGATTTCAAGCAAGATTGGGAGCCCTGTTGGGCCTGGTCCACAGTGAGCTTCACTGATGAACAGATATGCCTGAGGGTCTTGGGCTCCTGGAGGCTGAAAATGGAGGGAGAGTCTTCAGTCCCCGAGAAAACACAATGCATGAGGCTCCTACCTACCATGTCAGTAGGACAATGGCGAGAGAGAGTGAGCAGTGTGAGATGTGCTCCTCTCAGACTTGTCCTGCCTCTGAAAAACAGAAGAAAAGGTGTTACCAGAGAAACAGTAAGAATTCTGCTGGAGAGCAAGGCCAAAGACTATACCCCAGGACAGTGATTCTGGGGAAGCTTCTAGAAGCACAGAGGACAAGTTAGGAGCAGCACAGCATACCTGTCAACAGAGTGATGGAAAGAGGAAACTCGAATAGTGTAATTTGGGGGTTTGAGATGCACGAAGCCATTCTGACATCATGGTTCCACTCATGCTAGAAAAGGGTCCCAGGAACTGGCGAACTAGTACCAGTAACAAGCAGACTGGGGCCTCTGATTATGTGGACATGTTGGAGGCATCACAGTACTGTATTTCAAGAGATATACAAGGTAGTTATTAGTCAAAATTGCCTAGTACCAGCACACAAATAGGTATGTAGACCAAGGGAAAAGAATAAAAACCTCAGAAATTAATCCACACATCTACAACCATTATGCTTTGGGAAAAAATGCCAATCCCCCAAAGGCAAAATATGTTCTCCTTGATTTGTGCTAACTAGTATTCCGAATATAAAAAAACATGATGTATGTAACCAAAAATGTCATTTCGAGATTAGGTTGTTGTTCACAGCCCTGGGTGAGCTCAAGGAACAGTGGCTTTTCTATTTCATGTCTGTTGAATTCTTTGTTTAATGGAGGCTTAAACTTATGATTGCAAAACAAACAAGGTATGTCATTATAAAAAAATTGAAGAAGAAAATAAGAAAGGAAGGAGTAGGGAGGGTAGGGACATGGGCAGGAGGGAGGGCAGGGTGGGAAGTATCATTATGCACAGAATCTGAGCATACGAAACACAGACATTTTCCCCATTACCTTAACACAACAACAACAACAACAACAACAACAACAATTATTTGAGTTATATAAAAAACAAACACAAATACCATTTCTGCCTTCAGGAGCTTACAGTGCAATGGGTAAGAGAGAGGTTAATATTACTCTTCTGCCTTTCTTTCTCTTTCATCCTTTTAAGATTCTAATGATGACCATGAGAATAATGATATCAGTAACTGTTTAGTTATTTGAATCAGGAATTTCTACTCCAAGATGCATTCATCAAAGAACTCATTACGGAAGATGTGAATTAAGCCATGTTTTGCATGGTGGGTGCATCCAGTTCGCTGCATCCCAAGTAGTGGACTGACATGTTCAGAGGTGCTAGCCTTTGCTACAGGAGTGTGCAGCAGTAGCTGTCTCCCTTTGATTACCTTGTATAAAAATAAACAACCAGCATTTGACAACTTCTCTCTTGGGGTGAATGGAAGCTGCCTCTACAGCCTGTCTCCCTGTGTCAGCCAGCTAGTGAAAATGGGAAGCAATTCCCCAGAGCTGTATTCTTCTCACAGAACTAGAGATATCAGGTACAATAAATTGGGAAAAGTTGCGAAATGAAACATCTGTTCTGGATGCTGCTGCACTGAGGCACTCTCAGGGTACGAATTTCCATTCTGTATTCTAGGTGCTGTGACGAGGAGCTGGGAATGAGTTTGGAAGGCTTATTTTTTCCAAATAAAAAGGTTCATCATGTCTCTGAAATTTTTACAATAATTATTTTGGAACATTTTAAATAGGAAATTGAAAGAGACAGGAGGGGAGGAATGATGACAGAACTCAAGAATTAATGAAACAGTTACTAAAGCTAAGGAACATTGAGAAATGCATTTTAATGATGGAACCAACACCCCTCCAGCTAATTTAAGCAAATCAATAAAACCATTATATTGTATATACGGTGTTTACTTTGCTAAAAATTATGTCGAATGAAAGGTACATTATAAAATGCAAAAATCCCACATATTTAGGATCTGAACAACTGCATAGATGTTTCAGAAAATAAAATGTGAGTGTTCTTACATTGAATGTCTTTAGAACACAATGCCAAGGTTTTTTTCCTCCTTACAATGAGCAATATATTCTGCCTGGGTGCTCTCAATTACTCTACCAGGAAGCACCTATCACTTTCTCACATATAGTTGGTTTTCAGTCCAGACCAGTCTCCAAGTTCACTCTTGATTTTGTAATAAACAATACCAACTCAGAGATTCCTCCAGGTAGTCAGGTATAAAATGGCTCTTTAAAAAAATATATTGTATCTATTTATAAGGCAGAATTACAGAGAGAGAAAGAAAGGGGCGGGGAGAGAATATTTCACTTGCTGGCTCATTCTCTAGATGACCCCAACAATGTCAGGAGCTTCTCACATGGGTACAAGGGAAATTACTTGGCCCAATCGCTTGCTCCACATCAAACTGTTTTCTCAGGCACATTAGCAGGGAGCCAGATTGGAAGTAGAGTAACCAGAACTAAAACCAGTACCCATTTGGGACGCCAGTGTCATAGGCAGCAGCTTAATTTACTACACCATTATTTTTATTTATTTTAAGATTTACTTACTTCTATGTGAAAGGCAGAATTACAGAGAGAGAAGGAGAGCCAGAGAAAAAGAGGTTCTATCTGTTGTTTTACTCCCCAGATGGCCCAACAGGCAGTGTGAAGCCAGGAGACAGGATCTTCTTCTGAGTCTTATGCATGGGTGTAGGTGCCCAAGCACTTCAGCCATCTTTTGCTTTTCCAGGCCATTTAGCAGAGAGCTGGACAGAAAGTGATACAGCCAGACTCAATCCAGCATCCACAGGGAATGCCAACATCAAAGCCAGAGACTTAATCTGTCATGCCATGGTGCCAGGTTCCCTACCACAAAAGGTTTTGAGGTCACGTCTAGGAACAGATTCTTTCTTGTATTTTTTAAAAATCTGTTTATTTATTTGAATGGTAAAGAATCTTCCATCCTCTGGCACACTTCCCAAATGGCTAATCCGATCTGAGGCCAGAAGCCGGAGCTTCTTTGAGGTCTCCCACTTGGATACAGGGTCCCAAAGATTTGGGCAGTTCTCCACTGCTCCTCCAGGGGCATTAGCAGGGAGCTGGGCTGGAATTGCTGTACCTGGGATGCTGGCACTGCAAGCAGCATCTTTTACTCGCTATGCCACAGCACTAACCACTGCTTTTTTTTCTTACCATAATGCTGAATAGTGTTGATACTAAAGCTACATTTTTTTTTTAAAGATCTTCTGTTTGATGATTCACTTCCCAGGTGGCCACAATGGCTGGAGCTGAGCTGATCTGAACCCAGGATCCTGTAGCCTCTTCCAGGTATCCCATGTGGGTGCAGGGTCCCAAAGCCTCCGGCTGTCCTCAATTTCTTTCTCAGGCCACAAGGAGGGAGCTGAATGGGAAGCAGGGCTGCCAGGAATAGAGCTGGTGCCCATATGGGATCCAGATGCATGCAAGGTGAGGACTTTAGTCGCTGAGCTACTGCGCCAGGCCCATGCTAAAGCTACATCTTAAAGATTTCAAAACACATTTCCAAATCTTACTTCATTTGGACCTGAGTAGAACCTGAAGTAAGTGGTACAAATATTTTCTAACTATCACTCTCTAAAGGAGGAAGTTAAGGGTCTGGGAATGATTTCTCAAAATTTATTAAAGAACTAAGACAAGAAATGGGCATGTCTCCTAGATGCTGTTACTCTATTTTTCCAATTGCATTTTACACTGTATTCCTAGACATTCCCAGGCAGATCTTTTTCAGAGGAAACTCTCAAGAGAAACACTGTCCAGTAAGAGAGAAGAGGCTTATATATGGATTAAAAGGAAATCATATGAGAAACTGTCTTGGCTCAGGAGATGGACAAGCCAGCTTGCAGGGCAGAGGGCTGAGCCCCTGTATCTCTGACCGTGGGAGTTTGGGCATAAGGCCATGAAGTGTAGAGGTTTGTGGATCATGGATCATGACTGAGTTTCTTTCTTTCTTTTTATTTTTTTTAAGGATTTCATCTATTTTTTTAAGATTTCTTTTATTTTTATTACAAAGTCAGATATACAGAGAGGAGAAGAGACAGAAAGGGAGATCTTCCATTCCATGATTCACTCCCCAAGTGACCACAACGGCCAGCGCTGCGCCGATCCAAAGCCAGGAGCCAGGAGCTTCTTCCAGGTCTCTCACACAGTTCCAGGGCTTAGGGCCTGCTTTCCCAGGCCACAAGCAGGGAGCTGAATGGGAAGTGGCGTTGCCAGGACTAGAACCGGAGCCCATATGGGATCCCAGTGTGTTCAAGGCAAGAACTTTAGTCACTAGGGCACCGCACCGGGCCCATGACTGGGTTTCTATGTACCCTCCCTGTCTGAGCTTCCTCGATGGTAGCGATGGATCTTGCAGAGCGGGCTGATGTTTGGCATGGACGACAGGCCTAAGCGAGTTAGCTATCCTGGCACAGTAAACTCCCTCTCAGCTGTGAGTTAGCTGAGACTGGTGCCACACTAGACAGGTCCAGCATCCCTTCCCACCACTGACGTTAGCCAGAAACACTCTAGCATGTGCATCTTTGGTGACACTCTGGACTCTTGCCCCACCACAAGTGGTGGTGGCCAGAAATCTCCGGCCCAGCAAAGAACACACTCCTATTACTTGAATATAAGCCTTAGGAAATCCACTAAGCTCCAGAAACGAATTTCGAGGAATAAAGTTTTCAGCAATCTTTCAGAGGAGATAGAAATAAGAAACACCCTCCTCAAGATGTGCAAAACTCACCGTCCAAACACAAGTAATGACAACAGGAAGGCCGTGTGACTCCCCAGCAGGAATACAGTCATACATTTTTATTGGATCACAGAGGAAGGAAGGTTGATGAAACACCTGTAAAAGAATTCAAAATGTAACTAAAAAATACAGAGAATCAGTTAAGTGAAATAAGGAAATCAGTAATAACATGGGTGAGAGATTTATGAAGAGAGACAGATATAGACAGAGATAAGGTATTCAATAAGTTAAATAAAAAATAATGTAAAAACAACACACTTGGCAAGGCAAAAGAAAGAAAATCAAATCTGGATGAACTGTGTTTTGCATTATCTCCCTCAGAAGAGGATGAGAAGAAAATAAAGGGGAAGAAGAAGAAAGAAACGAGAAAATTAGAAATACTGAAAATTGTTCAGGATCTATGGGGAACCATAAAATGACCAAATATGTATAGCTTAGGGAATACTTAAAGGTATGGAAAAAAGGAATGACTTAAGAAACATTATTACATGAAATAATAGCATAAAAGTATACCAATTTGAATAAAGATATGAACATCCAAATACAGGATGCACGTGATAAGAGAAGATCATGACCATTATAGTCAGGCTTTCAATATATCACTGAATGAGGTTCAGTTTTAGGGACTGCCTTTGTTTTGCCTACCTTCCCCCCAACATCCCTCCCAACATCAAAACATAAGGTATGTGCGTAAAGATAGATTAGTGCTACTCAAATTTTAATGAGCATATGCGGTAATCTGGGAGTCTGATTAAAATAGTTTCCAATTCAGAGGTGAATTTGGGGATTCTGCATTTTTAACAAGCTCCCAGGTGATCTGGCTATCTTTGAATAGACTTAAGCAGTTATAAATCTTACCTTTCCACTCAGAACATTTTTGAGTTAAAAAATGCTACTCTTTGTTTATTGAAAGTGACTCAGTATTCTTTTTGTTCTGTTTTAAATGTTTTTTCTAAATCTGTTTGAAAGTGAGAGAGATTGATCTTCTATCTCCTGGTTGACTTCCCAAAGCCTACATATTTGGGACCAAACCACGCCAAAGCTAGAAGTCAGAAACCCCATCGCTCCACTTTTGATTCAGTAGTCTCTTTTAATTCCTGTGTTGATTTCTTAGAAAGAAAAAGAATTTCCAGAAGATTGTAATGTGCAGCCACAGTTGAAAACCACTGGTTTAGCAAAAAGTTACAAGCTCAAAGTTCCCTAAAGGGAGGGCCTACTTTATTTTATTTATTATTTTTTGAAAGATTTAGTTATTTTTATTGGAAAGGAGAGAGGAGAGACAGAGAGGAAGATCTTCCAACCGATGATTCACTTCCCAAGCAGCCGCAATGGGCCGAGCTGAGCCAATCTGAAGCCAGGAGTCACGAGCTCTTCCAGGTCTCCCACATGGGTGCAGGGTCCCAAGGCTTTGGGCCATCCTCCATTGCTTTCCCAGGCCACAAGCAGGGAGTTGGATGAGAAGCAGGGCCGCCGGAATTAGAACCGGCACCCATATGGGATCCTGGCGCGTTCAAGGCGAGGACCTTAACTGCTACGCTATTGCACTGGGCCCAGGGAGGGCCTACTTTAAAAGTCATTTACAAATGAAAAAACAAAATCAAATCATGGTGTACAAAAAATCCTTGAGAAGTAAAATTGCTAATCGGGTCATATTTTTAGAACATAATATCAGACCATAAAATATGTCTTTTTATTTAAAAGGCACAGTTACACAGAGAAATAGGGAGAGATATCTTCTATCTGTTGCTTCGCTCCCCAAAAGGGCAGCAGCCAGGGCTGCTAGCAGTCTAGGCCAAAGCTAGAAGCCGAGAATTCCAACTGGGTGTCCTGTGTAACTGCATGTGCTGTCAAATGTGGAGTTGCTGGCTCCAGCCAGGTCACTGCAGGTTTGAATGAGTAATAGCTTCCTGAAAATACTTCCTCAAGGGTCAAGTTTGTCAAAGTCTGTGGTCAAACCACCAGCAGGTAAGACAGGAAGGCTCTCGCTGTGGTGGGAACATGTCTCTGCTGACACTTTGATTTTGGATGTGTGCTGTTCTGTTACGACAGCTTTAGGACACTAATACAGAGCCTCTGTGAGATTTCAGGGCCCCCTAGGTTCTGATACTAATGTGTCTGGAAACATCATTGTTCGAAATTTTTTCAAACTGTGAACACTTATAGGAGACGATATAACTAAACTATGATGCTATTTGTTAAATACAGACCAATGACTCCAGAGAATCTTCAGTAAATCCCTAAAAAATAAGAGCTGGAATAATGATTAAAAATATAGATTCTTGGGGCTGGCACAGGGGCATAGGAGTCTAATTCTTTACCTATGGTGTTGGCAATCCATATGGGTACCGGTTTGAGTCTTTGCTGCTTCATTTCTGATTCAGCTCTCTGCTGATGGCCTGGGAAGGCAGAAGTTGGCTTGAGGATTTGGGCCCTGCACCCATGTAGGAGAGCTGTAGGAGGCTCCTGGTGCCCAGCTTCAGATTGGCTCAGCTCCATTGCAGCTGCTGGGGGACTGAACCAGCACATCAAAGATCTGTTTTTCTCCACTATCCATCTGCCTCCCATGATTCTCATTTCAAAGTAAAAAATCAATACCTTTAAATTAAAATCAATCTTTTTTTTTCAGAGTGTCTACTCTCAAAGCCAAATGCCCGGGTTCACATGCCTTTTAGGTCACTCACTAGCAGTGTGACCTTCAGAAAATTAACTTCTTGACATCTCTATTTCCTTGTCCATGAAACAAAATATTTACTTCACGGAGTTATATTTACTTAATGAGGTCTGGAGGAGGTAATGAATGCAAAATGCCTTAGAAGAGTCATTAGCACAGTATATTGCATAAGACATTTCTTGTTCCTTTTTTCTATTATTAAAAACGTAGCTGATCGTGTTTGTGTGTGTGCATGTGCACATGGAGGGAGTTTGAAATGACAGTTTATCAAACAGCTGCAACAACTTGCAAGGCACGTATTTCCAGAACCATTGCCATGTAGTCATTTTGCAATAGACATTTGGCCACATGACAAGACTGGTCCTGCTATGTACCTTTGGTTCACATGACACCTTATTGTTGTGCTGGACCAAACTGTGTTCCTCCACACACCCTCTTTCATATGCTGAATCCCTAATCCTCAGTGTGACTTTACTTAGAGACAGATTCTTTAGGGATTATAAGAGTGGGGTTCTAATTCTACAGGACTCTGGCCTTCCAAAAAGAGGAAGACAAAGAAAGCTCTTTCTGTATAACACACTGAGAACTGGCCAAGAGAGTGCTCAGCAGACAGGGAACTGTCTATATAGCGGAAGACAGCCTTCACCAGAGGCCAACAAAGGGAGTGCCCGGATCTTCATCTGCTGCTCTGCAGACCCGTGAGAGTGCTCATCTGCGTTGTTGAAGTTATCCCGGCAATATTTACTTACGGCAAACTGAGATGAGTATTGTTGCCCAGGTGCAGGGCTCAAAAGTGCGCACGCGTGCACACACACACACACACACACACACACGCACACCTTTTACGAAGCGTCTGTGGATCTCGATACTTGTCTTTCTCCCCCTTCCCTATCAGACCTCAAACTTTGGAGTTCTGCAGGACCCTGATTGCTACATCTAGATCCTCCCCCAGATTCTCATCTCAATCAAGCTCTGGACTTCTAAATATCATGTGATGGGCCTGGCATGGTGGCCTAGCGGCTAAAGTCCTCACCTTGAGCATGCCAAGATCCCATATGGGCACAGGTTCTAATCCTGGCACCTCCATTTCTGATCCAGTTCCCTGCTTCTGGCCTGGGGAAGCAGTCGAGGATGGCCCAAAGCCTTGGGACCCTGCACATGCATGGGAGACCTGGAAGAAGTTCCAGACTCCTGGCTTCCGATAGGCACAGCACCGGCCGTTGTGCTTACTTGGGGAGTGACTCATCGGATGGAAGATCTTCCTCTCTGTCTCTCCTCCTCTCTGAATACCTGACTTTGTAATAAAAATAAATAAATCTTTAAAAATAAATATATATGTGTGTGTGATATGATTGGAATATTTGCATCTTCTGTAAAGTTCATATTGAAATCTAACCCTTGATTCGACTATAGTATGAGGAAATGATTAGGTCATGAGAGCCTTGTTCTTATGAATGGACTAGTGCCTTATAAAAGGGCTACGGGGAACTAACAAGCCCCCTTGACCCTTCTTTATTCTACCATGTGAAGAGGATGTCACAGAAATACAATTCCATTCATGGAACAGGCACTTATCAGACACTGAAATTAGTGACGCCTTATCTTGAACTTTGCAGCTTCCAGAATTATAAGGACTAAATTCCTTCTATTTGTTGGTTTCCCAGACCATGATATTTTGTGACAGCACCACATAAAACTAAATATATATACTCATTTATTCCCCCAACTATGGGAGTCTTGTGTTTAATTTCCTGTCTAATGTTAGAGGCCTGGAAATACTACAAAAAAAAAACCCTATCTATATTTCTATGAAGTCCTACAACAAAAAAACTTCTCACACAACACCACTTTCTATCTCAATTTTGATCCTGTTGATAATTATTCAACTTCCTGTATCTGAAATTATAGTCCCTTAATGTTCTATCTATCTCAGCTTTTCTGACCTCCTTATTTAAAGAAATATTTATATCACCTCAACTAAGTTATCAGTCGTTTTGTACTGCTTATTCCTTATTGGAATCTGAACTGAATTTACTAATTTTTCTGTTCATTCAAGTCTTGAGTTGCCCGAATGTACACGTGAAGGCAGGAATCTGGTTCCCTCATATGCCACACTATGCATCCAGCTCCCAGGATGGCATCTAGCACACAGGAGCTCTTTCGTGTTAGCTAGGACCATTTTCCATTGCCAACATATGACTATGTGTCACCTGTAAAAGCGGTGAATATCTGCTTAGGGAAGGACCTGGAGTTCCAGGTTGCTGCCAGCAGGAGGCAGTAGACAGCTTCATTTGTGTGTAGCTAGAGTTTGCTATTCTGAGCAATTTGCTCCAAAAATTATTTGTTTTAAAGAGTTATTTTTACCCATCTGAAATTCAAAGTTATATATAGAGAGACAGAGATCTTTTATCTGTTGATTCACTCC